GGAAACAGTAGAAGAAAAATTTAGATTATTGAATTTCCCACTGCAGTACACTAAGTAGCGAAAATTAGAGTATACAACACATGGGCATTACGAGGACGCGCTTACCGACGCGTTACCCACGGTTATTGGTGGGCCTCGTTCGCGTTTACACCCATCGCTTTACGATAAAATAAAGCCAGCGAGACGGATACGGAATGGCAGGGCAGCACGGGAAGTGAGTCCCTCTGACGCGCAGCTCTTCATCCCCTTTACGTATTCTCCTTCTCAACAAGTTTGACGCGCAAAAGCCGGCGCGACCCTTCCTGCCGCTCAACTCTTGTTCCCATGACAAGTGTACGCATCCCAGCAACTCCGCTACTTTTCCCTGTGAATCTCCCACCTTCGTGCCAGAGTCTCCACTTCGTCGCCACCACCACCTCTCTCTTCGTGGGAATCTTCGATTCAATGGTTGTTTTTTCGAATTCGCACTATTGCATTTTTGGTAGACGCCCCCGTGACATATTGTGCAGTTCTATTTGTGTGAGAAACTTTATTGTTCTACAGAGTAATGGATAGTAATTGGAAAGTAATGTAATTATTCAATGTATGTTCGCTACCACTGACCTCCAATTTCTTAGTTTAATCGCTTATCTATGCCTTTTGTATTCATCATTTATTGACTGCTGGTTGAATGACGATCCAGATTAGTGGGAGGTTTTTAATTTTTAAAGTACAATGTATTATTCTTTACATATTGTTAAACACAATATATTTCTTTATTGCTGCTTATATATATATATCTAAATCGATAAAGGCAAAAATTCTTATTCAACTACGAAACTGGATTTGAAAGATTACGCATATCATTCATTTAGATAGAAAAAGATTTATTTTTCTAATTATTTTTATTGTGAAAGGTAAATAACTTTTCAAATATTTTGAAAATAATAGTTTTGCAAACGACGTGTACTCTGTTTGATTTGATAAATAGTAAAATTAAGCTGTTGAGCAATACGGCCACAGTATTCATCTAAAGACCATAATTTTTCATAATTCATAATTTTTTCATGGTTTCATGATCTAAAGCCCCTTTTTGCAAAATGAATGCATTTAAATGTAAGTTGAAATATGAACAATGAAAGACATGTACATAAAAAGAAGATTGAAGAGAGATCACACTCCTTGTCAACGGTATAAGATTACAATTTTAAAATTTCAAATCCACGGAGCTTATCGACTTGACCTCATCATCGAACTCGTCCGGACTTGCATCCTAAGTTTAGAAAGCAGATGTGTTCGGGGCCCCATCAAAAGAGCCTTCCCTGTTGGTCGGCAACCCCACCTATCGCTCTTTCTAACCTCCCCATCTACGGCGTCGCTTTCTACGTGAGCCACGCAAAGAGCGGAAGCATAATGTGCGCGTGCGTGTATGTAAGAGAGTGAAAAAAGAATGCGAGACAAGGCGGGAATGAAGAAGTAGAAGCGAGTGCAAGGAAAGAACTAAAGAAAGAAGGGAAAAGACGATTTCGTCTCGACTCTACTCCCTCCCTCTTTCTCTTCTTCGGTTACTCCAAAGCAACCCCTTGGCAAATTTACAATTCGACTCTCCATTCATTCTGTCCTCGTCTATCTTTCCCCTCGGGCCTATTGACGAAGTCGTGGTACCGACGAGAACAACACGGTACATAAGGGTGGCAGCTGCTATCAGTTTGTGCCCCTTCGATACGAGTCGACGCTTGAATCTAATGATTGCAAGTATGCGTATACGTACACACTATTTGTGATGCATTAACATTCCTTAATATAATTGATGTCGTTAACGATAAAGAAGTATTAAGAAAAACAATATATGTGAATGCATATCATTTCCTTAATCCTTCTTTAAATAATTTATTATGCATTAAAATTGAATGATACAGTTAACCTGTTAAATATCGTAATATTCAAGAGAATTGCTAATTGCTCACAAAAATATAATAATTATTTATAATATTAGTAAATCAATGACTTTGAATAATCAATACTTAGCAAAAATATTTGTTGAAAACGAAAGTAATAGAATATAATATATTGGTGATATTTAATGCTACGATGATCGCATTACGGCCTTATTTATACGCGGCAATAAAATTGACATATGTGCTTTAATTTTCAATCGCTTTTGTTTTCCGTTAACACTACGTTGCGACTACGCGTTTTTTCTTTATCGCGAGAAGAACGCGTTCTACTCATAGTTAAATAAATGAAGTTTGCGAGAATCGCGTATCCAGAACATTATAGTAAGCCTTCAAAATTTATAGCTTCATTGTCCTCTTACGATTTATATATTTCAAAGCTTGTCAATAACTGGCTATTAATGGTGCGCTGCATTACTGCATTTCAGAATCGTCCTTTACTTATAGTTGCAGGTGCTTATAAACAAAATTCAACTTGTATACTCTAATATTTACATTGTTTTTTAACACTAAAGCCACTTATTGCACTTTTTTTATAAATTGCATTCGATACAACTTACGACATTAATCGGTTGCGTTTAAAATATTAGTATTGCCGTGGTATAATAAAACTATGCGAAAAATGAAAACAGTTTTTGATTTACATAAATATTGATATTGTTGGTATTAATTATAATACAAACTGAACATAGTGTGTATGCATAAAATACTTATACACGCAAATTTGCATGAAAGTTTCTCAAATTTAGATGTCTATTAATGAAAAAATGTAAGGTAATGAAGCACTGGTGGTGATTACTAAAATCGCATTATAGTATTCTACTTTATCATTTATATTCAACGGACATTTTTGGAAAAGAAGCGACATTTAGGAATAAGGAAAAAGATGTTTAGAACATTTTAGAAAATTTTCAGATAAATTGTAAATTGTTTAGTTGGGTTTTCCAGTCCACAAATCGAATTAAAAAATGTAATGAAGGATAAGCAAAAAATGCAGACAAGCACGATGCCTGAGAAAATGCACGGCTACAAGCTTCCTAAATCTAGTCATTGTTCAACGGTATTAGCCAAAGATTGTATTTAGAAGTGAGCTGTTCACAGGTGACGACAACACAATATGGAATCTGGATAATGTGAGCTTAAGAAGAAGACCATAAATTCCAGAGTGTTCCTTTGGTTCAAGATCATAAGGATCTTGATATCCCCCCGCAAACGAACGAAGGAGACCAAAAATGGCATGGATTCGTCTCAGCCGCTTCTGTACTAAACGTCAGAAATAAAGTTGTGCCAGCGCCCCCAGTGGAATCGATTTGGAAACCTATTTTAAAATCGCGCTTTTATGAGAACGCCAGCGCATGCATTTTCATGAATTAGTTGAGCACCTATGCTGTTGGGTATTTATTTCTACTCAATGATAATTCCAATCATGTTCGCACGTAATTGTTCACGTATTTAATATACACGTAATTGCTTCACGTAATTGTGGCAGTTGCTAACTTAATATCAAGTCCAACCTCAATTTGTATTCACACTTTCGTGACCTTTAGATAATCCCCATTTTTGTTTTTATTTTTCTTTCATTGAAAACTTCGAGTATTTAATAAAATATATTTCGCATGACTATATGTGCCGTTTGACTATTTATTATTATCATATAAATACATGACTATTTATTATAAATATATATTTACAATAAAAATTACAGAATTATTTGCACTAACAATTCAAATATGCATGTGTATATTTTTACGTAGAACTTGTAGAATTCTACGAATAATACATCGAATAAATTTTATTGGGAGAAATGACGATGCGAAAGAAAAGACAAGCATTCGATTACAAGCATTCTCCTCGAGGGTGAAGTTTGCGCAGCTTGCGAGAATAAAGATAAAGCTGTATCCTTTGATATTAATATAGAGACTAATTTCCGGTGGTTCCATGAGTGTTTTCAGACCTAAATTTAACAAAGTAAGATCTATCGTCTCCAAATTAAATTATTATATATGGTTCTAAAGGTTATTATTATTATATTATAATACTATTACGATGAAATGGATATTTTCCAATTAAATTTAAAAAGAAAAAGGATAGAAATGTTATAGCTTTTCATTGTTTTAATGATAAAGTTTCTATTTTGTCCGAATGGAAATGTTCACATTTTGATGTTCACATTGATAATAAAATGAAACACGAAGCGCCATTTATTTATTTGGGAACATTATATTATTATTACAAAATAAACATCTAATATGTACTATTATAATAGCGTTAATATGTCGCTTACATAACCACCAAGTTGTTTATCAAAATTGAAATTGAAATAAATATAATGTGATCGATACACTATATCCACATATATTTCGGTATTAGGTCATTAGCTTCAATATAGTATAATAATAGTAATGTAGGGTAAATCCTAATTAATAATAATTAGATGTTTCGTTTCTGCGGTAGTGTAATTTACCGATACGGATGCAGTTGCGGTTGTACAGCTGCAATCGTAATAAGGCTAATATGATTGCAATGCATACACTGTATTATGACGAACGAGCGAAAAACATAGATAAAATTGTAGTTTTCATGTATTTTTTATATATTTGGCTATTCAATTCCCTCTGCATATGTATTTAATATCAATACATGTAAAGGAGAAGAAGAATCGTTGAAGGGTGTAAAACGTTAATAAAAACGTTATTGATCAATGAATAAGTAAATTAATCGACTTTAATACATAATGTTTAAAAGGTTAACTCGTATGAAACAATCAAATCATATGAACATGTGTATCGGCATCGTAATTGTCATCAACATCGGTCTCCTTATCGATCATTATCCTCCATTTTTAAATGTCGACGAGGGAGGCCAAATCGGCATTACGCGCCGCTATGAAGTGTTAAAAGAGCATTTGAGGGGAACTCTTGGATTGACGCTACCGCGGGAAAAACAAAAACAACGAGAGTGATGTGGGAGCAGGGGACTTCAGTCACGGGCCAGTGAAGCGGCACGCGCTTCTTGGAATGTGGAAGCCACGGCAAAAGTGCAAGTGCAAAACAAACGATAACTCACGCTTCGGTTGGTGGAGGCGAATAGAAGCTGGAATGATAGCTTGCAATATCGACTCTCTTGCCAGCAATCAGCAGAGCAGAGGGACACGGTGGCATAGACTCCATTTTCCTTCCTTCCTTCCTTCCTCTCCTTTCTTCCTCCCTTCTTTGTTCTTCTTTGTTTTCGTGCTCCTTCTTTCCTGATTTCTCAGCACCCCCTCTCGCTCCCTCGCTTTCTCACTCACTTTCTCTCCTCTCTCTCTCTCTCTCTCTCTCTCTCTCTGCCCCTTTTGCGTGACCTCCTAAAAATGGAGTCTCGCGCGCTTTCTGGAACGCCTCGCGGTAACACTCGGGGGTCCCGCGTGGCTTTCCTAACTTCGGTCAAGGTCCCTCCTCCCTGACCCCTGCACCCTACACTATATCCATCGCGGCGAGATTCGACCGCTCTCCGCGGCAAGTCCCCGGGACTCTCACTCCCAGACGACTGCCATGTTCCTTCGCGTCGAATCCGGGCGCCGCGGGAAAACACAACCCCGCGAGGAAGCGAGTCGGTGTTTCGGAGAGCCGGTGGCGCAGCCTATCGATTCTTTCGCAGGCTCGGTTTGGGCCGGAACGCATGCGCGGGTCTTCACACGTATCTCCTCGCGTACACACGCGCACGCACTTGCCCCTTCGGCGAGCCCAGATGCTTTGACGGGGAACTCGCGCCTCCGACACTCGCCACTATCGGCAACTCGTCGGGGGCACCCTCGACGGGCCGGGGAGACGGGAAGGAGCCGAATAAATGTGATCGACTACCGTAACTTACGACGAACTTGGGCGCGCCCCGCTCGACTCGAGGTTCGCTGTCCAACTGCCGAGTGTCGGCCCTCGGCGACCGACAAGGCGAGAACTGCGGCGCGCGGAGCGGAGCGGCGGAGTGTGGCCGCCCGTCGTTGCCACTGGAGCTTGGGCTTGGGATATGGAAGGGCGACTCGGGGGAAGCGGCTACCCGAGTACTCTTTCCTTACCTCCAGCCCCGCTCACCCGCCCACCGCAACCCTCCTGATCCCTCCCCGACAGCCAGCCAACCAGTGCCACCACCCCCTCTCCTGCCCTCCCACCCCCTGATCCTCGTGCGGACTAAACTCGCGACCGACACCACGGTGGCTCCCACGACACGCCGTAGCACCACAACCGACCCTATGGAGGGGCTTGTAGCGTCTCGTTCCTACCTTCCTTCCTACCACTCCTCTCTTGACGCCCTCTCGCGATCGCACACACACAAGCACACGAGCGCGTACACTCTCTCACTCTGTCGCTCTCTCTCTTAGTCGCCCCGTGGCTCCTACCTTTTTCTATCCTATGCCTATTTCTATCTGTACTCTCTATTCGCTACTCTCATTTTGCGAATCCTTAACTCGAAAATACTTTGCAATGGTTCTCTCTCTCTTTTTTGCTTGACAAGTCTTCGTTTTGCTATGATGTTTACTCTCGAAAATTTTACTCGCCCCTAGCGTTCATGAAGCGACTCAACCAGCCACGCTCGAAAATGTAATACTAATCGACAAAATGCACTAACTATTTTTCAATATTGTCGTTCCCTTTCATCCGCCAGGGGTCAATTATTTTCAAAATACGAGAAGCACGCGCAATGTTAAATGCTATGGAATTGCAAACGTTTTCGAAAAGCTCTTGAAATTTGAAACTTTCGCAGTGCAATAAAGTTAATATGACACTACTCGTTAAAAAACATTAATTTAATATTGTTAATATTTTGTCATTGGTTAAGAATATTCGGAACTGAACATACCTGAATTTTTAAACACCAATAATTTAAAATACTAATATGCACTTTCTTCTCCATTAAACAATTAAACGTTATAATTAACTCGAACGAGGGCACGTAAAATCTGCAATTCAAGAAATTAACATATTTAATGATCGCTGCAAGAAATTGTTTATTAATTGACACACCATCCATCAAGTCAACTAAGGAAATTCCTTAGAGTGTAAAATTTTGCTTTTTTCTTTCTTTCTTTCTTTTTAAAAATATTTTATTAATTATAATATTTTAATAATTACTTAAAGGCTGTTGAATTTTATTCATGAAAAGTAAATAAAAATTTTGATGCAACAAATTTTTATCGATTAAGGACAATAATTTCGTGTTCTGTCGATAAAATAATGAAACGATTAAAGCATATTTCCACTTTGAGTTTATCAATCATAAATATATTTTAACGTATCGTTAATATTATAGTGCATCGTTATACAAATGTGCACAATAGTTCTTGTTATCTTTTGTCTGGTCTAGTTTTTCATCTTAATCATCGATTTGTTTGTTGTATGTTTCATTACATTATTGTAGAAGCGTGACTTTTCTACTATGAAAACGAAGATGAACAACTATATTTACCTACATTCTATAAATCGAAATAAAATACCTCCTCCTAAAATATTATTGAAATTAACATTTGGATAAATTGTAATTTATTTAAAATATAGATTTCTACAATAATCAATGTTTGTAAAAAGAGATTTTTGAGGATGCTAAGAGACAGAGTCGAAATATTTCGTCGAATCTTTTGCAGAAGCAGCTCACAGTGTAGCAAAAGAAGGGGAAATATTTTGAGTGCGCGAGCCTGCAGGGATTTCGAGACTATCCTTCTTTCTTTTCTTCCTACTTCTTCGATACCTTCGTCCTCCTTCTTTCCCATAATCACACGCGCATACGTCTATCTGCCGCTCCCCCCGACCCTCACCGGCTAACACTACTTCTACACTTTCACGTTACGGGTCTTTTCGCTCCCCCCGTTTTCACCTTTTCTCCGCGTCATCTCCCATCTCCCATCTCCCTTATTTTTCATTGCCTTTTCTCGTAGTCTTACCTTGCAATCGTTCTTTTTGTTTTCATCCTGCGTTTCTAATAGCCTATTTACTCAGCCCTTTAAAAAGTATTGTTCTTCTCTACTTAAATGTCCATAAGCTTGCTTATTATTATGGTATGAACTAAACTATTCTTGTTTGCATTGTAAGCGTGTGTAGTAAAGTTCGTGTAGTCGCTGTTGGGCTAAAAAATGAGAATAAAAAAAATGTTAATTTAATCGGAAGAAGAATTAATGTATAAACAAAAATATAAAATGAGAAGACCGACCGACGCAGAAAGTGATAGGCTAAAGAAGTAAAGTGCGGCGAAGCTACGACGACTCTTATGAGCCTTAGCAACTGTGATTCGGGCGAATAGACGGAAAGAGCCGAGAACGGCCGAAATTCTGGAGGGATGTTGCCAGTTGCTACTCTGGCTTGTTGATGTTATTACAAGAGACAAAGACTGCATTGACTCTGCGATGCGCAAGGGATAACCGCGCATGAACAATTAACATATGATCGACGTCTACCGCTTCTCGGAATTTTTACATTTCAATCGACAGATCAATTTTTTATACCACTTTTATTTTGTCTCCCTCGCCTGATTATAATATTCCTATCGTTACCTCTATTAATATATCCTTCTTATACAATATTTGCACTTCTAGCGATATAAATGCAAATAATAAATATATTTATGTCGGACTATGTGATCGAAGTTTCTTACTATTACTATTAAAAACTCTTAAAAAATCTATCTAGTTGCAATAAAAACGGAAATAGATTTGAAAAATCAATTTTGTTTCTCTCACTGCAATTACGCATTAAACAATACTTATTATAATAAACACGAACAATATGTCAATAATAATATCTCAATCTACATACGTAAATATAATGGATGCTTTGGTAAAAAGTCATCTTTTTCTTGAAATATTCTTATTTCACCTTTTTTCACTTCTCTATTATTTCAATGTGTATGTAATAGCAAATAATAAAGACTTTATTACGTAATCTCTGTGATTTTACTTTGACAAATTTATTATCCTTGTAATCTTGCATATTTTCATTTTAAGCAATTATCTTAACATTTTCATATATATAATTTCTTATAATAACTAACAATTACTGAGACAATCACAACAGAAGAGCTAAGCATCTATTATATTCGTGTCGCTATTAAAAGCTTATTAAATTTATTATTAAGCAATATATTATTTTCAGAAGCCATTTAATTAAGCTTCATAATGTAGTATTCCCGAACGCGAATGAATCATTATTTGTTCACGTGACAGAGGAATTTATAGTGAAACACACATGTCATTTCTGTAATATTGAACCTGAATCGTATACGATTTCTGATAAATAAAGTATCAAGACCAATTCACCATCACATTACTACTATTTTATATTTGAAAATTATTCTAATTATCATCGTTCATTTATACATGCAATGCACCGATATCTCTTAGTTTTAACTAAAAATGGAGAGAAAAGAACATTAGGTTTTTAAAAACAAATAGCTTCGAAAATTAAAGATTAATACTTGTCAAATAATACTTGCAAATATCGATATAAAATAATTGATAAAAAAATCATATGGATATTAGAAATAAAATTGTTCTTAAAGTATTTATGGATTGCCAATTATAAAAGGTGAATCGCTTATCTGTAGCGAATTTTTCCGCAATAGTGCACCTAAACTGTACAAGGAGAAAGGAAAGGTTAGAACAAGCCGTTGGACGTAAAATCCATTATACCTAATAATACAATATATTGGACTAGTATTGGTGCTTAGCCTTGTCTAATTTAATCCTGCTAGCAAATGCAGCTAGTCTATAGAGGCGGGAGCAAAGACAAAGAGCGCACCCTCGCCTCGGAATTGATCGCGATAGATAGAAGCGCGAGAGGCGAAAGGGCGAAATGATCCCTCATTGCGAGAGATGCGTGACCCCCGTAACCGACTAGACGAATCGATAAACTCTAGCTCTGTTTATCCAAGGTCCAATTCACCCTTGATTGAGGTTCAACAGGGGCAAATGCTGCATTCTCGCGCGCAATGTTTCTTCAGCTCGATGCGGCTGTAGCGACAGTGGCGGTGGCGTGGTGACTTATTAACTTAGCGTGATAAGCAAATAAAAATTTTAGGGTATGTAAGCTGCCAGCCTTCCAAATGTACAAGATATAGGTGAATATCTGTCGGTTTGGAGCACTTTGTTCGTCAATAGTGCCTGCGCAAGTGAGAGGCCCACGAGTCAGCGGCAATGACATCGGCATATGCCTTTTCGTTCGCAGCT